ATGTTAGTCAATCTGATAGATGTGACATGGTACCACGGAGTCGTTTTGATTTGCATTTTTCTAATCCATAGTAATTTAGAGCATTTGGAAATAATAAATCTTAATAAATCTTTAATGCCTATTATTCTTTCTGCTCCCATCTCCTTTGTGTCAGAAAGAACCTCTAATTAAATTTCATTCACCATTGATATTTTTTATACTTAATCATAGTAAGCTTGACAAGTATTGTGTAAAATATCTCTAAAATAAAACTGCATTTCTTTATCATATTTGCCACCAGAAAGCTTCTTCAATTCATGTGCCAAACTTAAAGAGTTTCTTTTTTTCAACTGAAATATTCTGAAGCATCTGCTTAAATAAAACCCTATAAATTATTGCTGAAATGCTAGGAAACAAGAAAGCATGTAATTGCTCCACTAGTCTGTTTATTTCATGAATAACATCATTTCTTAGATATTATTTAATTTGAGGAGGCAATGTGGTGTATTGAATTGCACCAGATTTGAAATGGGAAGGAACTGAGTTTGAGTTTTGATTTGCCACTAATTAGGTGTGTGGTCTTGGACATGTAATGTAATATCTCTAAGCCTCAGTTTCTTCTGTAAAATGGATAGAAAGTACCAAACCAGGTTGTTGTAAAGAAAGTATTTTGTAAACCTTAAAGTGCTTGTGTAAATGTGCATTATCATTAATTATCAAACCATAATCAAAGTAGGCATATATTCAAAAAGAGTATATTTTAATACATGTTTCTCCATTCAGACTCACTTGGCCCTGGTTTCCTCTTTTGTCAAAAAAAAAAAGTATTTATTAGATATTTTTACGTTTAAACTTTTGCTCTTCAGAGAACAAGAGTCGATGCACATTTTCCTCCGGAATGTGCGTAAAGCTACCAGGTGTCTTAATTAAGAACCAATTCCGCCCCAAAGGGGGAGGAATTTAAGAGAAATAATTAGCTTTTACTGTCTTCCAGACCTAATATCCTCCACTAGATTCCTCAGACCCTCTTGGAACTCGGCCTTGAGGGTGTGTTTGGGGCAGAGCGGGGCAGCCCAAAGGTGGAAGGCAGAGAAGGGGGATGGGATGCAGGATTAAGAAACAGATGCTTAAAATGCGCCCAAACGAAATGGAGGAGGGAGAGAGTAATAATGCTTAATTTAAAAACAACAACAACAACAACAACAACAACAAGCTGCCACCTGGATCGAGGACCTCTTTTCTGAGGGTCCTCCATAAATTCTGGAACCCGCCGCTGAGTGTCACATCTCCACAAACATCCCTCCTCCTCCTTCTTTCCACCTCCCCCCCCGTGGGCGGTTGGTACATCCCACTGTAACATCAGTAGCTTTAAAGGGGAGCGCGAGGCTGGAAATCAACGACTTGGTCTGCAAAGAGAGAGTCGTTCTTTTTCTGGGCTTGTAATCGAACCCTCTCCATTGGTCACCGACCCTGCGCTTTGGACTTTTGTGTGCAGTGTTTTTCCTCTGTTACTTGGTATTGGTTTATTGTTTGCCTGGGCATTTTGTTTGCTAGCTTGTTTGCTTGCTTCCTTACTGGTTGGACAGGGGGAGGGGGCGTTTCGGGTCCTTTCCCCTCCCCCACACACCGGCTCTCGTCATTTACCTCCTTGCTGGCCACAGGCTGCGATTGCTGTTGCGAGAGACCAAGCGGGCTAGCTGGCGAGCGGAGGGACAGGATGGAGCATACAGAAGTTCTGAAGCCGCGGACCTTGGAAGAGCTGATCCGGATCCTGCGCGAAATTTTCTCCGGGGACAGCGTCAGCGTAGAAGAGGTGCAGTCCATCATGGAAGCCTACGAGAGCAACCCGACGGAGTGGGCAGCGTACGCGAAATTCGACCAGTACAGGTGAGCGTCGGGGAAGCGCCGCTTACTGCTGCTTGGCCGGTGCCACAGATTGGGCTGCAGCCTCCTGGCCCGACGGGGCTGACAGGGGCGCTTAGCCTGGGGAAGGGAAATTGAGCCAGCGTCTTCTGGCCGCTCCCCAGCGCCCGAGCCCCCGCTGGAGATCCAGGACTGTCTGGGGGGACAGGGCCCCATGGTCTCCATGTCCTGCGTTTAGTGCAGCGCAGGGCTTTTGGATTTCGGCTGCTTGCAGGCAGTATCCTCCCAAGCTGTCGATCTGGCCGGGAACTTAGAGATCGTCTAGCTCAAGTCAGGACAGATGACAGATAGAGACTTGAGGCCCGGGATGAAGGGATTTGCCCAAGATTAGATTGGTAGTAAATGCGGTAGGCATTAGGAACCCGAGTCTTGTAGGGAGAAAAAGTTTCTGACTCCCTCCTGTGACTTTGGTTACAGAGGGTGTAAGAGAAAATGTATGCCGGGTTCCTTGGGGGTCCCTTTCCTTATCCCATTACTGTTTTCTGGACTCTGTCAAAGCCCAGGTTCCTGTTCAGTTTCCTCTAGCTACTTTAGGAGCTATAAACGGGGTCTCTGCTCCTTAGGGCAGCACTATACTTCACCACTACAGTTTGGGATGAGGGAAATTCTCTGCCAACTTTCCAGGCTGCTCAAGGCGTGCTTCTGTGACCTTGGACTTGGCACGTAGCTCTCTTTTGGGGTGGGACCACTGAGGAGGGCCCCCGGGAGGGCTGCTAGACTAGCTCCAGAAATTTCTTAGATCATTCCCCTTTAGACTTCCACATATGTATTCTACAGTTGGATGAGTATCCAGACTATCAGAAAGAACACACACCCTCCCTCCCTCCACCCTGGATCTGTTCACTCTCTCTTTCTGTCTCTCTCTCTCTGTCTCTCTCTGTCTCTGTCTCTCTCTCTTTCTCTCTCTCTTTTCATCACTGTTGCTTCCCATTGATTCTCTCTCCTCCACCTCCATGACCCCCACCACCACCCCATCTTGTAATAAGTAAGTAAAACAAAGAAACAAAGTGGTTTCATGGATAGAGAAGTGGACTTGGAGTCAGAGAGACCTGAATTCAAGTCCTCGGATACTTTTGCTAGCTTTGTTACCCTGTGCAAGTCATTTAAGCTCTCTGTGCCTCAGTTCCCTGTATTTGTAAAATGAGGAGATTTGGACTTTGGGTGACTTTAAAGGGCCTTTCCAGCAGAACCGGGGAAGACAGATCAGTGCACTGGCCATGCCTGGAAATGTATACTTCCTTCTGCACTGGTGATCCATCACTTCTGCCTGCAACAAGACAGTGCTACACTTCGCTGGCAGTCCTCTGAAATCATACTTGTGATGGGGTATGGGCCCAAGCCAAGACCTTTGCCCCTCATCCCAAAAAATATTTGGGTCCCATTTATGTACAGGCCCCTGAAAACCCTTAAACTTTCTTTGACCTCACTCTGGTCTCAAATGGTTGCCTGAGGCTGTACTCCACTCAGCTGGCCTTTCCTTATCACTTATTCTTATTCTGATGATCTGGCTCTCCCTCATCTCCCTTTGAAACCCTAATGAAGCCTGGTCTTTGACATCTTAATGAAGAAGCCTGGTGTTTGATCCCACCTTTGATCTTATCAAGACACCATTCAACCTCCCAGACATTCCCATTGGAATTCTCCCTAAACTCACCCCAGCTTCAGGAGCTTTCTCCAAGCCCCTCCTTCAAACACCCCAAATTACTTGGGTATATATAAGATCCATCCTGGCCCCCATTCAAACACTGAGATTTCCTCATGCCTGTTTGTCCTTATAGGCGTCATTAATGTTCAGATTCCTTAAGAGTGTGGCCTGTATGGGTCATGGGTAATAAAACTTTGCCTTTGGCTGCAAGAAGACTTGGGTCAAATTCATTTGGGCAAGACCCGAATGTGGTGAACTCGGGGTTCCCAGTACCCCTAGAATCTACACCTCATCACTTGGGCATTGCACTTATTAGTGTTTTGAAGTCTTTCAGTGTTATCTTCCTTTTTACTATTGTAGTCATCACAAACTTTCTCCTGGTTCTGCTTACTTATTTCTGCATCAATTTGGATAAGCCTTCCTAAATTACTCTGAATCTGAAGGATTTTATCTTATGGCACAATACTCTTACCCTGTATTCAGATGCCCCAATTTGTTCCACTGTTCCATAATCTGTGGACAATTGATATCTCCCATCTCTTTCACAGCCCAGTTCCTCCCTTTGTTTCATGCTCACTCCAATTTCTCAGTCCAGACCCGGTTCACACTCAGTTCTTATTGTTTGATTCAATCAAAAAATTGTTTGACCTAGGTTAGGCACCAGAGCCTAATGGGGTGGCTCTACACCACCATTACCATGAAAAAACACTGCTCTAAATGTTTTTGTATGTGTAAGGCCTTTCCTTGTTTTTGACCTCCTAAGGAAATATATGTTTGGTGGTGCTATTGCTGGATCAAAGAGTGTGTTTGTACATCATCTTTATTTTTCTAATATGGTTTTCTCAGGTACCTCTTCTTTTGTAGAAGCAGTGAGCAACTTAGAAAGCAACCTCTAGATTCCAAAAAGGTGCCTTTTCTTTCCTTCCCCTGGGCTCTTGGTGGCACTGAGAGGGTGGGACTGCAGCAACCAATCAAGCAGTCATGGAGCCTGACACTCCCAGGCTTCAGCCAGATCAGCCGAATTGTATGTAGTCAGTGAGCTGCCCAGTGTTTGACTCCTAGACCTACTGAATGAGAGGGAAGTAATGAGGTGTTGTTGGTGAAAGGTAGGCAGAATGGATGAAGATCTAGGGCTGTTATTTTGGAGCTTTGGCATAGAAGATTCTCCAGTCAGAAGCTCCTTTTTTTGGTGGAGGGCAGGGAGGGGTCTGAATCCAGTGGCAACTTTACTGATCCACGGCAAGGTTCTCTTCCAGTTTTATATAAACAGCCAGCACTCTCCTGTGAACTTGTACAAAAAGTATATAAAGTAGTCTAGTATGATTTCCATCTCCTCCCCTCCCCCCCAGCTCTAAAGCAAATTCTATCTAGTTCTAATTGGTATAATTGTTGCAGAAGTTTAAAGCCATTATTAAAATATCCATTAACTTTTATGAAAATGAAAATTGGATTGTGTGTAATTAGCATCTCGCCTTGAAGAAAGGCTTTCTAGGATGCCTCCCCAGCTCCCTTCAGGTCTCACCTCAGGTGCCGCCTCTTACTGCAGGCCTTTCCTGATTTCCTCCTCCTCCCCCAATTGATTGGTTGGTTGTGTTCTTCTTTCTCCCTCCGAAAAGTATTTTCTATTTATCTATGTACATCTTTCTCATGAACACACACACCAGTGAAATGTAAGTGGCTTAAGGTCAGAGACTATTCCATTTTCTGTCTTTGTATCCTTAGTCCCTAACAGTGTCTGGCTCATAATAGGCACTCAGTGAATACTGTCCTTGAAATGACACCTTAAAGTTACCCCTAGGGTCTGCCTCACATTCACGAGTGTATTACAATAGTACTCAGATATGAACCAGAAGTATTTCCAAGTTACTTCTTGATAGTCTTCTGACTTTGCTTATTAAATTCACTTACTTAATCTGCAGTTTGTGTTTACATCACTAAAAACAGGTAATTACTTAGTTCACACAAGCTCAACAGGTGAAAAGATTAAGTAGACTAGTGATTGATAGCTCTCAAGATCGTGTGAATACCCATAGAACTTGACTTAGCAGGTAACTATTCAACCGTTAATGGTTCATCAGTAATCTGCAGCATTGCTAAGAAAGGGTAAGTACTTTAACCTCTCCAAGTCTCAGTTTTCCTCATCTATAAAATGAGGAGGTTGGAGTTATATGGCCCCTCAAGTCCCTTCCATTTCTAAATTAAATCCATGGATTCTATGGAAAGTTGCTTAAGAATTCTGGTCTGGGTGTCTTGCATTGGGAAGGATTCCACATAAGCACAGTTCCTGCCCTTGAGGTATTTACACCCCTGTAGAGGAAACAACTAACATCTGGGAAATAATTAGAACTTGGGATCATATAATTAAGAGCTAGGCTGTAATTAAGGCTACAAGTAAGGAGTTAAGATTGCAATGTGCTTTTGTTTACATTATTTCACTAGATCCTCACAACAACCCTAAATTAGGTAAAATTCTGTTAACCTCCTGAGCTTCAGTGAAAATAGATTTGCCCATAGTGATAAAGGCTTGAACTATGTCTTCCAACTTTCAGTTCAATGCCGCTTCTACTTTAATACTGTCTAAAAGCTACATAAATAAACAAGAAGATGGGAGGAAGGGCAGGGAAATGGGTCAGTGTACATAATTTTGACAATGTTAAGTGTTAAATGATTTATTTTTTAAAAAAATCTGTTTCAATGATACCATGCATAGCCCTATATAATGTCATTTAGGAGAGCTAACACTTTTTAAAAAGAGCATTTATTAAGCAACTCATCCCTGCCACATGTGTAGATCATATAAAATAGCCTTCTTGGAGATTTCATTATTTTTGTCCAAATATTAAAAGGACATTGGCAAATAGATGTCTATAAACAAAATATAGAAAAGCATCGCAGAAGGTCCCTTTTCTTAGAATTTATCATTAAGTAACCTGCATTTTTGTAACAAAACTTTACTGAATTAGAATTTTATAAACAGTTCTTGGGGCAATGGGGAAATTTGTAGAATTTGGTGTGTGTATGTGTGTGTGTGTTACTTTTTTACTTTATTGTAAGCCTAAACTATTCTTTGAACTTCTCACTTCCATGACAATTCTGCCCACATTTTAACTATTTTTCCACCCCACCCCCCAACTTGTATCAGATCTGCTTAACAAACAAACAAACAAACAAACACAACAACTTTGATTATGGGTACTTAGTTTTGTTAGGACTCAACTATGGATAATTCTACAAAATTAAATACTAAAACAGCTTTTCTGTGATATATTGTTTCTTAAATCCTCATTTAGCTACAGAGAACAATTGCAGCACTTTTGCTTGGAACAGCAAAGAACTTTCCAAATTGATATTCTGTAGAAACAGCTTTGCTCTGTTCTTTATCTGGTCAAAGAAATCAAATGCAGACTTCTAGAATTTACCTCCTTCTCCTTCTCCTTTCATTCTCTTTTACTTAGAGTACAGTTAAATGTTGGGGAAAATTCAGTAACTCAGAGAAAATTCTTAAACATCTAAAAATGAGATGCGAAGAATTTTTTTTTCCTGTGCTATAACTATGCATTAAAAATAGAAACCAAGCGATTTTCACTTGAAATATTAAAATTTTCTAACTATAGGAGTGATGGGGGTGAGGGGAGAGAAAGAGAAAAGACTAATTTTGTGGCACAAGGTTAATATGGTATAAGAGCACTGAACTTGGAGTCAAGGGACAGATTCATGTCTCTAATGTGATACTTAGCAGCTACGTGACCTTAAACAAATGAGTTAACCTCTCTCAGTCTCAGATGCCTGATCTGAAAAATTGAAGTGATTTTATTAAATCTTCTAAGTTCCCTTATAGTTTTGAGGTTTGGTGTTTTATTTCTGGTGCCTCTTCAAGTAAAGTATATTTAAACTTCTGGCATTTGTTTTCTTAGGTACACCCGAAATCTTGTGGATCAAGGAAATGGAAAGTTTAACCTCATGATTCTGTGTTGGGGTGAAGGGCATGGCAGGTAATAAATCCACAAAAGCTCATTAAATACAAGTTTGATGCAAGGAACTGAGCTGGGCAGACTTGAAGCTCTGGGTATCTCTCTCTCTCTCTTCTTCTCCTTCCTCCTGCAGGCTTTGTTTTCAATCTCATTCATTTCCAAATATACTCCTCCACCCCTCCTTATTAAAACCATCCCTTTTAACGAAGATTTTTAAAGAAGTAGGAAAGACAAAGTTAGTTCAACAAAACTATATATATGATGTATGATACATATGTGATATATTGGGTTTTTAAAATTTTTTATTCTAAACAAACTCCCCAAAACAAACATTTCCATCTAGGTAAAGTAGAATGTATATGAAATTATACTCTCTCCTTTTATGGCATCACTCTTGTTAATCCCTCCCTTCCTTCTCCACCCCCTCTTCCAACTACAAGCAAGAAAAAAATGCATAGTCAAACAAAATAAATCCACATAGTAGCTACCTTCAAAAAAAATGTTTGTATCCTTCCATACCTTGAATATATCAACTCTCTGTCAGGAGGTAAATAATATACTTCATCATAGGTCCTCTGAAGAAAAGGCTAGTAATCACTTTCATCAGCATTCTTAAGTCATTAAAAGTTGTTTTTTTTTTACAATGTTATCATGGTTGTATAAATTGCTCTCCTAGTTCTTTCACTTTACTCAGCCTCAGTTCTTAACTTCCAAAATTCCCTAAAGTCATCTTTTTTGACATTTCTTACATTGCAAATATTTCATTGTATTCATGACCACAGTTAGGTCAGCCATTCCCTAATTGATAGATAGTCCCTAAATTTCCATATCTTTTCTGTCTCCTCTCTCCCTCTTTTTCCTTCTTGCAAGCACTTAATAAATGCTTGTTGATTGACCATTTCCTCCCTGGTAGTATTATCTTCTCCCTTAACCATACCTCCTTTTCTCCACCTGTTTCCATGTTGAATTTGGTGAATTGCTACAGCTAACTCTGTGTGTGTGTGTGTGTGTGTGTGTGTGTGTGTGTGTGTGTGTGTTCGTTCCTCCTTTGTCTGGTCCAGATAAGAGTAAAGTCTATCTGATGCCCACCCTTTGTTCTGTGTCTATATGTGCTTCTTTTCACGTACCCCAAGCATGAGAAAAAGAAAGTTCTTCATTTTTCAACATTAGTGTGGTCCTTCTTTTACCTTTCCTTCTCTTTCCCTCTTCAAACCCTCAGGACAGAATTAAATCTACCACTGCCCAACTGCTTTCCTTACTTAATACTTATTTAATTTTCTCAATACTCTTTGAAGACAGGTTCTGAAGGGATATTTGTTTCTTCTCTCCTATTAGAATGCTTACTCTTTGTCATTATACAGCCTTCCAAATGATCAAATATGTTTTCCTTCCTAGGTTTCCTTTGACTCTTGTGTTTACAATTTTAAGTTCCTGCTTAGCTCTGATATTATAATCAGGAATGTTTGAAAGTCCCATTTTCCATTAGAGGCCCATTTTTCTATCAGTGTTACACTCAGATTTGTAGGTTAAGTTATTCTTGATTGTAAGCCTATATGTTTTATCTCTTGGAATATTAGTTTCCAAGATCTCCTTCAGTTTAACGTAGAAGCTGCCAAGTCCTATGTAATCCTTACTCAAGTTCCATGGTACTTGAATCTTTTTTTCTGGGTATTTGCAATAATTTTTTCTGTAATCTAAAAGCTCTGAATTTTGACTGTGGCATTCCTAAGAAATTTTTTCTTATGGGAGTTCCAGGAGGTAATTGGTGGATTCTTTTTATTTTTGCTTTATCATCTGATTCTAATAGATCTAGATAGTTTTCATTTCTTAATTCTTGAAATATAGTTTCCAGAATATTTTTTTTAAATCATGATTTTTTTTTCCAGGAGTCTATTGATTATTTTTCCTTGACTTCTTTTCCAGGTCAGTTGTTTTTAGTGGCACAATACCTTATGTTTCCATTTATATCTAATTTACTTTTCATTTATACCTAGAAGTTTTTCAGAATTTTAATTTTGTTTTAATAGTTATTGTTGTCTTATAAAGTCATTGTTTTCTATTTGGTCTATTCTAATTTTCAATTAGTCCATTATTTGCAAAAGGTTTAATGCTTTCTGTTCTAAGCTATTTATTCTCCTTCCATTTCTTTCTTCCAGAGTTTTTATTTCATTTTTAAAATCTCATTTCATCTTTTCTAACTATTCATGTAGTAATTGTGAGGAATTCATCTATGTGTAGTTGTTAAGGTATTTCTCTCTCCATCTAGGTTGGATTTTTTTTTTTTTTGTATCTACAGTGATTTTTTTTATATTGGATAGTATCTTCAGTTTACTCATATTTCCCAGCCTTAGTTCTTAAATCAGAGCTTTCTGCCAGAGCCAGGCTTCACGTTCTGCTTTACTTTTGAATGAAGTCATTGGCCTTGCTTGCTCTCACCATACATGTCACCTAGGTTTCTAAGCCAACCTCCACCTGCCAGGACTAGCCTTCTTCCTCTTCCCCCCAGGACCCTGGAAATTCAGACCACTAGGTCTTTAATCTATGAAATCTCTAGACAGAGTGCTCTAACCTATACATTTTCTTGTCTAACAACATATGCAGTGTCCCACACCCATAGCTCCTTACTTTTGCAATGAAGGGAAAATGGATATGTTTTCTCTGCTCTTCTACAAGACCAAATGTGGTCATTATAATTATGCAGAATTCTGTTTTGGTTTTTTGTTTCCTTTTACATTGTTGTAGTCGTGTGTTTTTCCTGATTCTATTTACTTTGTTCTGTATTACCCCATGATTTTTCTAAATTCTTATTTGTTTCCTACATCACAATAATATTCCATTAAATCCACATACTCCAACTTGTTTAGCCATTCCAGTAAAGCTGCTTTATGATTGGTTGGGTAGTATAACCTAACAAAGATGCCAAAGCCAAACTTTCTTATAGAAGTCAGCACAGAAAGATCCTGCATGGAACATAAATGTGTAAATATGGTAAATACATTTACCATAATATAAGCATCAACTTGAGATACTGGTTGTACATCAAGTGTGATGAATGACTACCTTAACTTGATTTTTTTTTCTATTTTTTTATAGACTCAAACTTTATATTCAAATTGGTGCTGCTCTGATCTTAGCCTGTTGTATCTTAGGGTTTGTACTCAGGCAACATGCAAACTAGAAAATCAGATAAAAGAACTGTCTAAAGCAAGGGGAAAAAAGCCTATCATGTCATAAATATTCTCTGTTTCCAGCTAATTGTCGGGTTTCTTTATCTAATATGTTGTGTGTTGAATATTAAGACATTTTGATAGACAGAGTGGCAGAGTAGATAGAGAGCCAAACCAGCCTTTGAGTCAGGAAAACCCAGATTCACGGTTCACCTTTGACACATCCTGACTTCATGATTCTTAATCAGAAGAAACCATTCTTTTTTCCTTTATAAGTGGGTCTATATTTGTCACTAGAGAATCAAAACTTTCATAGAATTACATGGAATATTTAGAGACAGAGAGTGTCTTAAATATCATCTAGCCCAACCCCTTTCACCTTTTAGATAAATAAACAGATTCAGAGAAGTTTGCCAGTGATCATGCTGCAGGATAGTAACCCAGAATCTCTCTAGATCAGACTAGAACCCAGGTCCCCCAGTTCCCAATCCAGTGTTGCTTCTATTGGACAAAAACTTCCTCTCCCTTCTCCATCTTAAGTAAAGGTTTGAACTGAATATTTTTTATTAAAACAAACCTAAATAAAACTTTGTTTTTGTTTGTTTTTGTTTTTTTGGTGAGGCAGTTGGGGTTAAGTGACTTGCCCAGGGTCACACAGCTAGTAAGGGTCAAATGTCTGAGTCCGAATTTGAACTCAGGTCCTCCTGACTCCAGGGCTGGGGAAGACTTAAAGTCTGACAAGCTAATTAATGTTTTACCCCACAAATGAGCAGCAACAGGATAATTAGTGACTTTGTTAATCATTCTTCTCTGCTGTGTATGACCTTTCTGTATGAAGACGCAGTAAACTGTTCCTATTTTATTAAAAAGGAACCTCACTTTAAACATATTCCAAAGTTTCTTAATCTTTTCAGGAATAGTGAAGATGTGTATAATTTAAAGCTACCTTAAACTTAATCCTTTCACTTGAGAGGAGAGAAGTGAATGACTGAATCCAAACCATAAAATAATAAATAACAAAAGATAACATTTTAAAAACACTCCAAACTTCACTTGGATTCAGTCCAAGGGCCGCCCTTGAGGATCTAGAGAGCCACATGTGACCTCGAGGCCTCAAGTTCCCCACTCCTGCAAGCCCAAAGGTCTGTTACTATATACATTTAATTACTTCCTTAAAGGGTTAGTTTGAGCAGCCCCAAAATATTTCCTCTCATATTCAACTTTAGTTTTTCTTTCACCAAGTAAATTGGGAAACTCTCTGTCAGAAATTATCTAAAACTAGTTGGTATTGCTGTTTAGCCTGGATTTGCATCTAAAATAAGCCCGCTCACAACACCCTGGGCCCATTTTTGCTAATCTTTATGTCTAGTATCATGTATGCTTAGAATAATCTGAATAATGTTGGCTAAGTCATATCAAAATATAAAAACAATATAATGGAGCTGCATAGGGAATTAATTTGTTGTAGGCTATGCTCTGAAGAAGATTTTTTTGCTATTTCAACCTCACATGCTATAGCTACCATTGTTTCATATTACAGTACTTTCACGTACCAGGCAATCCACTGAGTTTGGTTGTCATTCTCTGTGTGTGTGTATATATATAGCAGTATCCATGATCATACAGACTCCCACTGCTTTCTGAAGATGCTGCAAGGAAACCTCAAAGAGACCCTCTTTGCATGGCCCGATAAGAAATCCAATGAGATGACGAAGAAATCCGAAAGAATCTTGAGAGAAAACCAATGTGCCTACATCAATGGTAAACTGCTCACTTGCCTTTTCTACTATCCCCTTACTCAGGATATTCTCTATAATGTTAACCCTGAGATACTATCACTGTATCTATCATGAAGGTTATTTAGACAAATACTACGTTGGCTTCTCTAGGATTCCAACCATTTAGAAAACAACTTAAAATAATCTTAGAGAAATTGTCTGTGAATTCAAGTGTGTCTGTTATGGTAGGAGTAGCATCTGCTTTATGTAGGCAAAGCTAATTTTCCTTGAAAAGGGGACAAGGAGGCTGTCCTTGGGATAACATTTTGAAATGTTGGCTTAGTTTCCTTGATACCTGGCGGGCAGGGAAGCCCAGCCTATGGAGAGTTGATGTTCCTGAAGTTTGACAGAAAGCCCACTGCCACGAAGATGCTACTTTTAAAGAGACCCTACTTCTTTTTCCTGCTACAACTACTTGAAGATACTATGCTATATTTTAAGGTGATTTAAAATGTTTTCAAGGGGTACCTAGGTGGTGTAGCGGATAGAGTGCTGGGCCTGAAGACAGAAGACTCTTCTTCCTGAGTTCAAATTTGGCCTCAGACACTTAAAAACTGTGTGACCCTTGGCAAGTCACTTAACCCTGTTTGCCTCAGTTTTCTCATCTGTCAAATGAGCTGGAGAAGGAAATGGCAAACCACTTCAGTATCTTTGCCAAGAAAACCCCAAATGGGGTCATGAAGAGTCAGATACAACTGAACAACAACAAAAGATGTTTTCCAGTGTGATTTTGATTATGTGGTATTTTCACCTCATGCACTGACTTTAGAAGCTAACCCCTGAATAAGATGCAATTTCTGTTGTGAATTCTAAGTGCAAAGCATTGTGGGAAATGCAAAGAAATATGATAGAAGGTATCCTGAAGCAATTTACAATATAGTAGGGGAGATGGAGCATATCCTATGTACTACGTTGTGTCAGTAATTATTGAATAAGTCTATACCAGAGCAGGCTGAATATTGACTTAAAAAATCATAAATTAACATCATCTGTTGTACTGTATTTTTATTTTGTTAAACATTTTTCAATTACATTTTAGTCTGTTTTGTGACATGTCTGGTTTATACTACAAACAAGTTGAGAATGTGGGAGATCCCTTTCAGCTGAGTTGATCAGATCCTGAGTTGATCAGGAGAGGGTAGGACATTCCAGGCAGAGGGAGTAGCATAAGCAAAGCTGTAGAATTAGGCACTCAGACAGGTATGTTCAGCCAAACTGGTTCACCTCCTGTTCATGAAGTTGAAGGTTTTGGAGGGTGGTAAGTAGACTGGAGTCAGATTATGAAGAACCTTGAGTTCTAGGCCAAAGAATTTGGACTTTAGATAATAGGGATCCATTGGAGGTTTTTTTAGTTTTGGTTTTTAGCAAATATCAATATTATTAAACTGTCTTATATACATTGCTTCCCAAAATACTGAATTGGAATGTGAAGACAAGAATATCTAGAAAGTAGAAAGAACTGAACTAGGGGTGTAGGAGTGAGATTAGAAAGGATGGGCCTAAATAATTAGGTGGCACAGTAGATAGCATGTTGAGCCTGGAATCAGGAAGACTCCTCTTCCTGAGTTCAAATCTGGCCTCAGACACTTGCTGGCTGTGTTGACCTTGGGCAACTCACTTAACTCTGTATGCCTCAGTTTACTCATCTGTAAAATGAGCTGGAGAAGGAAATGCCAAACCACTCCAGTATCTTTGCCAAGAAAACTCCAAATGGGGTCATAAAGAGTCAAACATGACTGAAAACAACTAAACAACAACAACAAAACATTATGGGGAGATAGAATCAACAGACTTTAGCAACTGATTGAATTTGGGGGAAAAGAAGAGTCAAAAATAAAACTGTGCTGTGGAATAAAAGTAGTACTGTCTCGGGCTACTTCTTCACAGGTACCAGTGGCTTATCTTCTACTATTCTTGCTTTGACTATTTTCTTTACATTCCTGCAATAAGAGAAATACGATGTTAGTAAGCTCTCAAGCCACAGGTATAATTATATCCAAGTTAGTGCATGTTGAAAGAGTGTGAATTATTTCTCAAAGGTGTTAAAGTAAACATGAGGTCCAGGGCAATGGCTATTCTAATCCTTCTGAATGTCTTCCCAACTTCTGTCACCAGCTTGTGTTTGTAATATTTTTTGGAGATGAGGAGAAAGCATTATTTAACATGATGAAAGCTATTTCCCTTAGTGCTAATGAGCAGATTGATACTTGGACCACATAGAATGCATAATGCCTCATTTGGCTGTCATTTGATAGCTTTTGATACAACAATATGAAAACACAACCTTGACAGATGCTAAGCAGTTGGATTTTAAAACCAAAGGCAGATCATAGCGGTGGTCATTTCTGTGTGTATGTGATGGCAAAAAATACTGTTCACTGGCCTATAAAATTAATTCTACATGATAACAATAGCAACCAAAATATTGCTCTTCCCCTTACAAAGACATGTGTGTGTACATGCAAATTTTTAAGCACCTTCTTAAAGGAGAAAAATCACTGTACACCAATTGGGAAAAGACTATAACTTTAGTTTCTTAGGTCAGCTTCCATGGTAACACTTATGTCAGATCATCAAGTTAACTGAAATTTCTTGTAAACTCCTGGGTTTAAGAATCCTTCTGACTGATTCTAACTTTCATTGAAATGCATGTGATTTGAACTTGACTAACAGATTTATTTTACCTATAGACCATGACCGGCATGTTTAATTTGTTTAATCTCTCTTCTTGTCTCCTCTTTAGATTCTATTGGTCTACATCGGGTGGAGAACATAAGTCATACAGAACCCGCTGTTAGCCTTCATTTGTACAGCCCACCCTTTGACACTTGCCATGCCTTTGACCAAAGAACAGGACATAAGAATAAAGTCACAATGACATTTTATAGCAAATTTGGAGCAAGGACTCCATTTGTAAGTATGAAATTGAAGAAATCCTTATTAACTTCTCAATTTAAATTCCTTGACCAGTCCTGGGTTGGGGTTAATATGATAACACCAAGTGTTACCTTGTATCTTGGGTTTAAAGGATGCTTTGTTTAGCATTTTGGAGGGAATCTGGATCTTCTTGAATTGATTGAAAGGGGCTTTATAGGTAAAAAGAAAAAAAAGGTTCCACACTTGTTCTTTTTCTCATGTTTTGAGCACTGTGCACCTAGCTATAAATCTATTTATAGGTGAGAAGAACTTTTTAAAAAATAAAATCAATACCATATAATAATGACCTTAATAATAGCTAGCATTTATATAATGCTCTAGGGTTTGCAGAGTGCTTTACAGATTTTGTCTCATTTTATCCTCACAACAACAAAATAATAGGTACTATTATTATCCCCATTTTACAAATGAGGAAACTGAGGGAAAGAGGATAAGTGATTTGCCCAGGGGCACACAGCTAGTAAGTGTCTAAGGCTAGATTTGAATTCAAGTCTTGCCACCTCCAGGTCCAGTGTTCTCTCTATCCACTGCCTCACTGCTTCTTGTTCTACACAGTAGTTGGGAAGTCTGGCCTAAAGTTTCAAAATCATTAGCGGCAATAATTATTATCATGTGTTCTAGACTTATTGTTTGTATTTCATTCAGTTGTTAGTATAAGAGAACATTTCCAAACTTTACAGTTTTGAGGATTCTTGGCAACTAATCAGTTAGTTCTAAGTCTCCAAATATTTTTTAAGGCCCCTGTTTCTAGGGGAAACATTTCCTTGAACTCCCTAGATTAACCACTAAGTTCATCCCTGCTATTTAACTTGTTGATCTCATGACTCTGGCCTATGTCAGGAGAAGGCCGTGTTAGGTTCTTTCAAACCTTCCATAAACAACTTTCACAAGAGAAGGACGGAAACTTTAAATTGGTCAATTCAAAATTAGAATAGAAGAGTTAATTCAAAACTTCCAAATTCCTAGAGAAAGGAAGCCCTGTCTCTAGACGGTGCAGCAGGGAGGTTAAGAAGAATAAGAATGAGAAACTGCCCAGAAATACTTTATCCACTGAAAACTGCCCAGAATAGAACTACTGTTTAGACTACTGGAGAATTGACTGATTAGAAAGATAAGGAACAAGGCCTATCACCTGACTGTCTAATGGCAATCTGCACTAATATGTTATGACAAACCTATGTCTAATGAAATAACTGGTGACTTATAAGAATAGTTTTTAGTAACTAGCTTATATTCTAAAATAGGAGTGCTATGACTGCTGCTTGGCATATGAACAAGGACTGCTATACGACTTACAGTTGTGTTGAGACTGCCCGTTATCGAGTAGCAAATTTGTGCTGATCTGTATCTTTGCATCGCCACAATCCTGAAGGGATGTTATTGCAGGTTGAAGTTTCTGTTCTATCCCCTAGATAGACTATCTAGGTGGGGGGGAGATTTGGGAAAGCTAAGGATATCTAATGAAAGTATCTTTTTTTTCTTTTCTAGGCAACTTCAAGTTCATTGGAGAACAACTAAAGAGATCCAGTCACTAGAGTACTTTTTCCTTTTTTTTTTCTTTTTAAAGTATGCTGAAATCTTTAATTGTGGACGAAGAACCACCAATCACTTGCTGTCCAATAGTACCTTTGAATAAGATGCTTAGAGATATATTAGAGCAGACTTCTGGCTGCTTGAATGAATGCTAATGACAGGGGACTTACTAAGTAAACAATGCCAGGAGATACTGTAGAGGAGAAATCCTATTGTTATGGTCTTTATACTTGGAAGACCTAATCAGATGCTCTCTTGGGCATCTCTCTCTCTCTGTCTCTGTCTCTGTCTCTGTCTCTGTCTCTGTCTCTCTCTCTCTCTCTCTCTCTCTTTCTCTGTCTTTCGTCCTCATGGTTCCCTACTAGGAAAGACAATGAAGTCCTTTTGATGGTTTTTGTCTATCATAATTAGCAATAATTAGGAGTAAAACCAAGCCTAAGACCTCATAACCCTACCTTTGTTATCCTGATAATTAAGTATACAGATTTATATGATGTTTTATGTTCTCTAAGATGTGTTCAAGGGAATTGTTTTTGAATCTAGATTTTGCTGGTTTTCCATCTTCACAAATTCCTATTTTGTATATAGGTCACTGTGTACAGAGACACTCAAGTCAGTTTGTGATTCTGTTGTGAAATAAATCACAAGGATGTAGGTGGAGTTCACAGCAAAAAGAAAACACAAGTGTGTTTTAAAGTGACCACAGGCCCATGTAAAATACTTCTTGTAATGCTACCAAAATTGTCAGGTTAGCTTGAATAAAACTGAATTTAAAGATAATTTGAAATGGCCCTGTGCCTTTCTAGCTACTCCAACGGGGAACCTCATAAACTAGGTTATCTTCTACTTATCTCTTATGATTGTAAGTTACACCTTTCTCCCCTCCCCCTAGAATAGTTTTCTCTATTTGGGAGTCCAGTAAATACACAAAGCTTTTAAATGTTTTCCAACCTTTCCAGGAATGTCTTTTTAATTATTTCTAGTAAGAGGCTGTAACTCAAAGATCCTAGTAAGAGGCTGAACTCTTTCCATGGATTTATTGATTACCCAACACAAACATGGTGTCATCAGTTATACAAGAGAAAGTTAACCTTGGTCTTGTCTTCATGCAAGGCTAAACTTAAGGGGATAGTCCTGTCCCCACACACAAAAAGTTCAAAAAAGGTTTTCTCACCTAAAATACTCCACTCAATTTACTGCCATTATTACATCTTGTATGGGATTCTTTACTAGCATTAGAACACTATTAGAAGCTTATTGCTCCATCCTGAAACAGGGTCCTGATTACTTTTATGTTGTTACTAATTCATACTTGAATAGACTCCAATAAAGACAGTTTTGAATTGCAAGAATTTTTAAGCACCTCATTCCTAAATGCCAAGTCCTACTACATCTGAGAAGGGAGTCAGTTCAAAAAAGAAGTGAGTATCCCTCTTTCTTCATAACTCCCACTCTCTACCTGAAGAAAGTGGGAATGGCAAATTCAGGGATGAGAGGAGGACAATCCCTCTAGGGGAGTAGGAAGAGTTTAAAAAGGGAAGAAAGAATGTACAAGTCAAAATTTTAACAACACTTTTTGGTAACTGGTATCCAATTTACCTGTGACTTCGTTGGTGCTAGAGGTTCTTTGGAATTGCAAACAAATAGCAGGTTGAGACAATCAGTCAACAAATATTTATTAGGTGCTTACTTTGTGCCAGGATCTGTGTTAAGTTCTGGGGATACCGAGAAAGGCAAAAAACAGAAACTATATGTAAAAGTGGAAATTCAGCCCAAGATGTTAGTACTGGAATAGGAGGCAAGATATAAGTTGCGTCATATAAGGAGCTAACATACTCAGAATATCCCTCAAAATATCATGGTGGCTGCTCGTGTTGCACATTCCCACCTTGATGTAACTTGAGGTAATTCACTGTTCTCTTCCCAACTCAGTCAAGCTAGCTTTAGATTTAATTTTATTTTCCCAATTTGATGAATTTTGGTTCGGTTATCTCCATTCAGAGATCCAGCACTCCAATCCAGCATATTACTCCTGCACTCCAATCATCATCAACTCCATTACATCACCAACTGCTTAATGGACCTCCCTACCTGGATGCCCTTTAGGCATCATATATGCAATATCTTTAAAATGGAACTCATCATATTCTCCCAGAAACCCATCCCTTCTACAAACTTCCCTATTTCTATTGAGGTTACCACCATCCTTTCAGTTACATGTGTTTACAACCTCAAAGTCCTCCTTAACTCTTTCCTATCCCTCACTCCCATATCCAATCAGTTGCCACATCTTATCAATTCTACCTGCAATACCTCTCTCGCATCCATTCCCTTCTTTTACTTCCAGTCTCATTCAGGCTTCCATCATCTGTCACCAGGAATATTTCAATATCCTTCTTATTGGTCACCCTGCCTCCAGACACTCCTTTCCCCATTCAACCTTCATCTAGCTGTCAAATAGGCATTCCTAAAACACAAATCTGACCATTCCCCTACTTAAAATTTTTCAGTGGCTCCCTATTCCTTCTAGAATAAAAATGAACTTCTCCATTTGGCATTTAAAATTCTTTGCAGTCTGGTTCCAGCCTACTTTTCCCAGACTTATTTCACATTACATTATTTCACATGCATTCCATGTGAGTCAAATTAGCCTCTTAACTGTTCCCCAGAGGTGATTCCATCATCTCCTGTCTTTGTGCCTTTGCACAGGTGATCTCACCTGTCCAAAATACACTCCCTCCTTTAAAAATCTCTAACTTCAAAAAAAAAATCTCTAACTTCCTTTAAAACACAATTCAAGTACTGTCACACTCAAATCTTAGTGCTCTCTACCTCTTAAAACTATATTACTTTTCGTATCAAATATTGTTATGGAAAACAGTTTGAGAGATACTTCACCACCCCCTTCTTTGGTTGGGGAGAGCAGAGGGACTGATTCTCCCTTACCACATCTGTCTCAATTGTCTAGGACAGACTTAAGGTCTGAATTCTCAAGGTTCCCACCTCCCTCACTTCTACTCTTCCAGGTCAGTCTGTGGGGAACATTTAAAAATCCCTTATTCAAAGATGCCTGTTAGCTGAAAGATAAAGAGATTAGCCCATCAGGGTTTTAGTCTAAGGCAAAGGTCTCTATTCCACATGCCTTCCTTTCTCTGCAAAGTTCGAGAGCTTAAAAATAGAGATCATTAATAAAACATATAAAAACTCTAAGCCCCCAGACAGTCCTTTGATTGCCAACTTGCAAATGAGGCATTCTAACCAATTACTTTCAGTGTAATCAATCTTCCACAGACTTTCCCCCTTATCCACACTCTGTATAGCAAAGACATCAATTCAAGATGCAATAAAAATCATCTTACCTCACTATTACTAAAATATCATCAACCAGTAAGAAAATTTAAAAGACACTTGGTGGTTAACAGTGCTCTTTTCTATGTGACAATAAAACATAAAGGGGAGAAACAAGGAGAGAGTAGACTCTCCATCATTCCAGTAACTTTTCTTAGGCATAGTTCTCTCATTGTCTGATAAGTCCTCTTAATAAGCAGTGTTTGTTAGTTAATAAGCCAGGGAAAGGGAAAGGAAAAGGTTCCCGTCAACTATAAGGCTTAGAGTCAGCCTCCTGGAAAGCACCTCTGTCTGCCACTGTTCAATCCTTGTCACTGCTGCCACCCTTCTCTGTCTTTTATTATCCTGCCAACTCATTCAAAAAACTTCCCAGGCTGGCCTAACTCCAACAAGTCCAAATAAAATCACTCCATTGTTCTGTCTTTTCCTGGACTGGGAAAAGACTACAATTACTGGGCTTTTTAGCAACGTAGCCCCTGTCTGATGCTTTCTCTGAATGGCTGTTCCATCAATTAACCTCTCTGGGCTGCAGTTACCTCATTTATGAAATGAAGGGTTTGGATTTGATGGCCTCCAAGGTCTCTTCCATCTGTGAATCTATGAAACTTTCCTCCTCTCTAGTATTTCATTCTACAATTCAATGTCAACTTGATGGCCTTATAGTCAGAAGTATCCGTCTTCATCTTCTTTCTAAAAACTGATTACCTTCCTTTAATCCTGTGTCAAATCTTCCATTTGCCACCACTTGTCATTCATAAGTTCTTTCACTGTCTTGAATTCAGTACTTACTTACTTTAGACCAGCATCTGATATGTGCTAATTTTTCAGCATTTCATCTAAATTAGGCGCTGATTCAATGTTTATGTGGCTAGATAATCCAATATAATCCGATTATTCTTGAAAGCTATACATTTTAAGTATAGTTTAGAGCAGAAGTGTCAAATATCCAGGCAGGTCCTTGGGTGCCTAAAACAGATTAAAGTATAATTGTGAAATATTTAACAAAATGAATAAAATACAATAACATGTAGGTAATATTAAATTTTAAAACTAAATTAATATATGTCCTGCAGAGATTCTTGTGTATGGATTAGTATTCCCCTCCCCCCTTTCTATTTGAGTTTGACATGACTAGTATTTATTGCTATCAATAGTTAACTTTCTAACTTCGCCTTTGAGATTGGTAGTCATTAACGTTCTTAAAAACAAGTAAAGTCTTCAAGGATGTGATTAGACCTTTAGATTATCTGGGGCCATCTCCCGTTGTCCAGATCTATATCTTGCTAGTGGACCCAGATGGCTCCAGAGGAGAAGGTGAGGCTGGTGACTTTGCACAGCCCTCCCTCACTTAAATCCAATCCTCTTGCATGTCATGGCATCACCTTCCTGATGTTATGGTCCTCTTTGAGAACAAAGGACAAACAATGAGACCTTTAGATTATTCTGGCTGAGTTAGCTACATTTTTAGAAGTATATATGAGGGTTAGGAAAACAACCTGTTCTTTCAGTTTGCAAGTCTCTGAAATTTTTTTCATTGCTTCACAAGCTTTTCACAGCTTTATTTATCCAATAAAAATGGATTACTCAATGAATCATTTATCTAATCTGTCATCTAACAAATGAGGTGTAAGCTTTCTCTGGAGAAAGGGACTTGATCTGTGATTTCATTGGTATAGGAAACCCAGATGAAGGGACTGCCTCTACGAAGGCAGGTCAGCACCTTCTCTACAACAGGTAGTCATGGGGAGCTGCCAGGATGTTTCAGAGGCAGGATTTGACTCAGGTCTTCCTGACTCCAGGACCCTCACTCTCTAGACACCAGTCAACCTGGATTACTTTCTGTCTCCCATCTAGTTCTTCTACCTCCATGACCATCCCCCTGCCCATACCTCTAAATCAATTCCCCCTCCATCACATTTTGAACTTTTGAAATCATTTCTTCTCTTTAAAGTCTAGTTCAGGGACCATGTCTTCCATTATGCTTTTACTGGTTCACTTAGCTAGAAATGATTCCTTCAACCTTAAATCCTTAGTACAACTGGGTTTTTATTGGGGTATTTTTTTCATCTTTCCTGTTTACTCAATTATATCCTAACTCATTTCATCACATTTCATAGTTGTTTGTGGATATTCTATCACCACCCTTTCCTCTCTTCTGCATATGCTCACATATTATGAGCTTCCTTCTTGAGGGCAAGGATTGTGCTATCTCTCGTTTTTTTTGTCTCCTGGATTTACTACAGTGATTTGCAACCAAGAGGGGATATCTAAATGTCCCTTGAACAACCCAAACTCTAAACTGTTTCTTTTCAATGAAAGAGAAAACAACTTACTTTTCTTCTTGTCAAATCAGTGATTCTCACTGTTATCATCAACATAAATATCTGTTGAGCTCCACAGAGCACAAAGTTCCAACAAACAAAAATTCAATTTAACAAATATTTATTTAATTTACTACCATGTTCAAGGTACTGTACTAAATACTGGAAATACAAAAATAAAGAAAGAAGACATGGTCACTTGACCTCAAGGAATGTATGATATATATATGTGTATGTATATATATATATATAAATTAAGTAATCTTAATTAAGTAATTTAC